CTTCAAGCCCATGTGCCCATGATGGTCTGAATCACTCCCACTTGGTGACTGCTTCCTTTTCTTTTCTGCTTGTGAGATGGGGCCTTTCCCCAAGCTCCTGTCTTTGGGGTTTTCCTTTCTCACTCTAATTTTTCCCTTGACCATCTTATCCTGAGCTGGGGTCTACCCATTTCTCCTTGTGTTGGATTCCCCAGCCCTGAGTGTGCAGCACCCTCTCATCTTTTTTCCAGGTGTGCAGGCACCTGGATGCCTGGGGGTCCCACCCATGAAGAGGATGTGCTGCCAGGCATGTTTGCCAACACAACTGTTTATCCCACAGCAAAGAGAGGGGCAGGGAGGGAGAGTTGGTCCGGTTGATACCAGATTGACTAGCCTTCAGGGCAGCACAGACTGAGTCAGCCAATGGCGGGGGCTCAAAGCAACCAATGCGACATGGCTGCCACAGCCTGCTGGGGGACTGGGAATATAGCCTTGCAGAATCCAATGCAAGGCACAGCCATGCAGTTCCAGCCTGGACTTGACAACTTGTCCCTGTGCTGGCCATGAGCTGTGTCCTTGCTGAGTAGCCACGACCTCCAAGTGTTAATACCAGCCCCTCATAAATGCTTTGATGATGAAAAGGTGAGCTAGCTTGTTACTTTTAATATCAATGACCAACAGATGAGTCAAGGGACTCAGATTTACCTCAAATTAAACATTTCTGGGCCGGGCCGTGGCTCACTCAGGAGAATGTGGTGCTGATAACACCAAGGCCATGGGTTCAGATCCCATATAGGGATGGCGGGTTGGCTCACTTGGGAGAGCATGGTGCTGACAACACCAAGTCAAGGGTTAAGATCCCCTNTGGTGCATGGCTCCATAGAACTGGTTCTGCAATAATCACAATGACCACTAACACACAGCACATGACTACATGCCAGGCACTGTTCTGGCACTTGACTCATTAACTCATTCAATCCCCACAGTAGCTCTATACAGCAGGCACTGTTGTTGTCAGTTTGCAGATGAGGAAACTGAGGCATGGGAGATGAAGGTAACACAGCTAGTAGAAGATGGAGCTAGGATTCAAGGCAACCTGGACCCAAAGGACATGTTCCTTATCACTCTGCTGGCTATTGGTCTAGCAGCCTTTCTGTTAGAGTGTGAACAAAACTAATGCCATTTTGTGCCTTGCCTGCCATGTTGACTTCTGTTTAACTCATTCCTTTGTTTCACTGACCAGTTATACCTTAATCTAGGTCAAGCTGTAAAAGGAACATAGGCTTCAGGGATTGAATGATTTATTTATTACAGCAGGTGGCATCAGTGGTCTGAGCACTAACATCACAAGACCCC